AAGACCATGTTATCTCTGCGTAAACATTTACCTAGAGGATTTGATTGAGATGCTCAGATCAAAGATCTGTTGGAGTTGTATCATTTGATAGGGCTTCACAGTTGTCCAATTTTTCTATCATTGATCACGAACAGATATTTTCAGCTCTGTACACAAATAAAGTCCTGGTCAAATGCTAAAGTTAGTCATATCAAGTCTATATAAGAGAACTACTGAAATTGGGATGAGAAGATTTCAATCTTCCAATACCCTAAAGTATACTTTCAAATGAAAGCTCCTTTAACCACATTTTTCATATCGTAGCACTATTCGTAGCACTATTCGTTCACGTGGAAAAATGGCCACATAAAACAAAACCGGTGGACTTCTCGGATTAACAGCTTGAAATCCAAAGTTGTGAAAGCAAAAAAGCTAAAAAATGCAATTTAGACCATTATTCAAATACCTTAAATGCGGAATTTTCTTTTAGAAATAATAGCAGTATTTATTCATGCAGTCAGCCCAACTACAATCGCATGAAAATCAATAATTAAAGGCAAATAAAAACAAACTCTTCATATTTTCAAGACATACCATAGTTCACCAACACCGAACAATAAATAATCGGACTGAAAAAAGAAATCAAAAGAAAGACATGAATCAAGCTAAACTAGAATTTTATTGTAAGAGCTCGATGTTGGCGAAGCCAGAAAGATGTAATTAATTGTATATAGGAATGTCAAATAGGTCAAATAGCGGGGAAAAGAGGTTAGCGAGCCGGAAGAATAAAGATATCGGTAAACAAGGGAAATAGCAAATAGCTGATCTGATAATGGCATTAACAGCAAAAAAGGAGGTATCCCCGAAGGATTTATATGGAGAGAACATCGAAGATTGAGTTCAACAGAGTTCAATGGGTTTCATTGTGTATTCAGTCATCCAGTTCAGCTGAAATTACGAACAGCAGCAGTGGTGGAGCGAAAGGAGAACAACAGTTATAAAAGGAAAGTACGACAACGTAACGAACATTTAGAGACCTCTTGATATCCGTCAATATTCACTATGTTCATTTCATCCTCATTATTGTGTAATACCGCAGAAGATATATAAAGGCTAATGTCGATAAAGAAAAGCCACAGGAATTTGTATTCCTGTATTCCCTTTGAAGTTGTATAATGTATTCCTGTATTCCCTCTGAATTTGTACAATAAGAATCCTTTTCTCGACAGCAACTGAAGTTTCAAAATCATGTTGGAGTCACATGATCACCCTCTTATCAGAGTTATTTATTAGGTGGGATGATTTCTTGAAAGTTTCAAACAATTTCGACCATAAAATCTAAAACAAGCAAGCCCCGTCTCAAATATACGTTGCAATTTATTAAGGATGCCAATTATAGTTTGCCATGTTTCCAGGCACCTAATTCTTTTCACTCGCGATGAACATTCCTTGGCTTCAGTACGCTACAGTGAACAATCCCTTGCATTGGCAGCCTTTTACCTTTTAATGGCCTGAGAATTTAACAAAGGGACCAGTGTTTGAAAGAAACCCGTACTAATTAATGTAATATGGAAAATATTTACAAATAAATAACGCAAAGATAAAAGAATGAAAGGATAAGCTATATCATTGATTCTACTAGTCCAATCTTAGTGCTAGAGAAAAGAAACAAAGAAGATAGCGATAATATAATTATTTGGATTTAGAATCAAAAGTCTCTTATTTACACTTCATATTTCTTTGTCAGAATAAACCTTATTCCTGAGTATCTTCATTCAAAAAAGTTGGAGATTGCGAAGCAGTGGTAACAGCAATGATCTATTATATATGTATATATATATATATATATATATATATATATATATATATATATATATATATATATATATATATATATATATATATATAGTA